GATTTCGGAGACGTGAGCTCCAGGCGATCAGCGGGCACTCAGTGCTCATGTTTCCTGATGAGAGCAGCCTAACCTCGGCTAGTCCTTTTGACATTTGCCGCTGGCTCTGATGTCTCTGTAGTGGTAAAACACGAGATATAATTTGTTTTGGGTAAATCTAACAGGTAATGTTTGGTCTTAATAATCTATTAATATGTTAAAATGAAAATAAAAAGAGGCAATGTTTGATATAATATTTAGTTTCATTGTAATGAAACTACATTTCTGCGGCTATTACGCCGGATTTGCCAAAAGCTTTTGTTGAAAGACGGAGCAAGGGGCGTGGCAGTACTGAAACACCGTCTAAGCTGTTCACCAATCACAACGCACTGGGACAGCTAACCAATCACAACACATTTTGTTTTTCGGAAGGCGGACCTTCATCAAAGCCGGAACTAATCGAGCCGTTTGTGCCAGCCTGGGGAGAAAGGTTTTTCAGTAATGTAAATTATGTGTCACCAAGCATGAGAGCATGTTCTAGTACACCCCCAAAACAAAATCAAGACTTTGTAAAAGAGCATAATAGGACCCCTTTAATATGGAGAGGCACTGAAATGTAGACCTTCGTTTAAGCGTTTTTGACTTGACTTTACACCGTACATGACGTGAGAACAGTTCGCTATTTAGGTTTGTACGTTAGCATGGATGCACTAACTTTAATGTAAGTTTTAGCCAGAGATAGCTTGCTGAAGCACAAGATGACATTAATGTTCTGCTTGAGCAGATGAAAATTGTAACTTAATGAGAGTATGACAATCAGAAAATGAACGTTCTCATCTTCGTTGGGATTAGGTTCAGGTTTAGGTTCATAAATTCTATTGCCTATCATCTCAGGATACCTGGAATCAGTGTTTCAAGTACCCCAGGCACATCGGTTTTCCATTTTCAAAGCATAAACACCATCAAACCGATGCGAGCTTCGAATCTTCCAATGTTTCTCTATGGTGCTAAAACCTAAAGATGTCCGAGTTCCGCTTCCCATGCAACTGAAACTCGACTGGCATTGGCTCATCTGTGTTTGAGGGGAGGGGCTTTCCGATAGGTCAGTTGCTGGACTGGAGTGGTGTGGATTACTTGTGGATTATTGTGATGTTTTTATCAGCTGTTTGGACTCTCATTCTGACGGCACCCATTCACTGCAGAGGATCCATTGGTGAGTATAAGCCCGTTTCCGCCGCAGGAACTTTCCCCAGGAACTAGGTACTTTGGGCCGGTACTCGGTGTGTTTCCACCACAGGAAACAGGATCTAAATAAAGTTCCGGGTAAAAATTTGCCCCTCAGAAAGTCTCTGCTCGCGAGGTAGTACTTTTTCAAAGGTCCAGAACTTTCGTGGGCGGGACTTGGGTGCTGAACATGCTGATTGGTTGAGTTCACGCAGCATTCTGAATTATTCGCATTATTTTTTTTTAATATTACTGTTATTGTGTCATGAAATGTAGTTTTAAAAGTTTTCCAGGCAAGAATGTAGTTGTTTAAACTCAAATCTGCGGTTTATTTATAAAGACATCACCTATTTGAAAATGTGCGTCGCCGATTTCGGAGACGTGAGCTCCAGGCGATCAGCGGGCACTCAGTTTGTACAGTAAGAAAGTTATTTCCCTTAACCAGGAAATTAACGTTCTTAGAATTGACAGACAGTTGACCCTGAGAGGTCAAGTAAATATCTACAGCGGATCTAAATATTTATAATTAATTATAACTAGTTATGATTAATTATTCATATTTCCCCATGAGCTGATTCGCTACAATATGTTTAAATGAAAACGAAAAGAGGCAGTGGTGTTTGATATCATATTTCGTCTTATTGTAAATACAGTGAGGAAAATTGCAGTAGCCAAGGAGAGCTGACTGATGTTATCAAGTACACTGCTGTTCCATTTGCAGAACTTTGCGTACTTGGAATTGAGAAACGTGCGCAGACTTTAGACCGTGATGGAAATGCAGACGACAACAGGGAAAAAAGTTCCTGGGACAAACTGTGCCAGGTAATTTCGGTGGAAAAGCGGCTTATGTGACAAATTTCTCCAAAACTGTTCCAATGAAGAAACAAACTCATCTAAATCTTCGATGGCCTGAAGGTGAGTAAATTATCAGCAAATTTTTATTTTTTGGGTGAACTTTTCTTTTAGGCAGAAATTTCCTCAAAATTGTCATTATTGTAATATTCGGAATATTTAACTTTTTTATAATTCCTATTATCTTTGATTACTCTCATTAATGAAAATACAGTCTTTTTATTGCATCACAGTAAAACAACTGTTGCCATATTACAATGATTTTTTTTTACTTAAATCAACAAATTATATTTTACAGTGATGAGAAATTGAAAATAATGCCATGATGCAAGAAAAAAAGTAATATATATAATATATGTATATACATATAGTTTTCTAATAGTTTTAGACTTCATTGTGTTTATGCAAAATCTAATTTATTTATTTCTGTTGATTTTGGGGTGAAACATGATTCAGAATTCTCCCCGAGTGCATCAATTGTATCTGTATAGCATTTTACAAAATACAAACAGTTTCAAAGCAGCTTTACAAAAATTCATGATGTTAATGTTTGCCTTACAGTCATATTTAGCAGATTAGAGCTCATAATAATCACATTAATCACAGGCTCATATTAATTAAGAGACCACATGGAATATTTGTCACCCTGCTGGGCTATTTAAATTAACTGAAAAATTATTTAAAAAAAGAAATGTTCAAAAGTTTGGGGTCAGTTCGATTTTTGTTGTTATCTGAAAGAAATTAGTTCTTTTATTCAGCAAGGATGCATTAAATTGATCAAAAATAAATAAAGACATTTTTAATGTTAAAAATCAGAAAATTCCAAATAAATGCTGTTTTTTGAACTTTCTATTCAACAAAGAAACCTGAAAAAAATGTATCACTGTTTTCACAAAAACAAGCAGCTGCGCAACTGCTTTCAACTTATACATTTCTTCCGATTTTTTTGTTTGTTTTGGAGAACTCTCCTCAAGTTCATCAAACTGTCTCATCGTCATCGTCATACGATGGTCTTGGTCGTCACTCACCTCTCGCAGTCTAGCCTCCAGTTCCAGCACTCTGCTCTTGTTAGTCTGCTCTTGTTGTGTCAGTTTCTCCAGATGTTCCTCCAGCTTTGCATTCTGGGCCTCCAGTTTTCCTGCCTGAGATTCCAGATAAAACTTCTGCTGCCTGAGTTCAGAGATCATCTCCTCTTGGGCTTTCCTAAAGATTGCAAACATGATTTGAAGAGTTTTTGGAGAAAAACCCTGCTGAAAATTATAAAGCTAGTCAATCAGTCAAAAACCTGTTTCTACAACCTTGTAGAGCTGAATAACCATGCTGGTTAAGCTAGTCAAGTGGGAACATCATTAGCACAGCAGCATCTAAACCACAACGTATACTGGTGTATAATGCAAATACACCAGGTCATTGTTCATTAACTTTGTGCTTAACCCTGAAAATCTGCTATTATGGCACATTAGCCTGAAATTAACCTTTACATTCAAACACATTTCATATCCAAATGTCCACAGTTCATTCATGTGAACCGCATGAAACTGGCTGTGAAAATACTGTCTTAATACTAATATTACATGGAAGCAAAAGCAATAAGCCACAAGACTCTTGCAAAAAAAGTACTACGGTGGTACTACAGTAAAGTCACTGTAACAAGACATATACAGACGTATACAGATTTTGTATTTTATAATATTTTATTTTTATAGAAAAAAATTGTTTTTACTTTAGTTATACACTATAAATTAAGATAAAATGTATAGTAAAAAACAATAAAAGGACATTCCCAGAATTCCCCTCACAATATTATATATATATGATTATAGTTTATTTAAATAGTTTTGTTTCTTCTTATTTTTGTTTAGCAGCAATGTACTTTTTTATTTTCAGTTTTCATTTTAGTTCAAGTTTTAGTAATTTTGTTGTGTGCTTCGGTATTTTTAAAATATACATATTTCTATTTAGCTTTAATTTATTTTTATTTCAGTTCTAGTCATTTTAGCACTTCAACATTATTTTAAGTGACTGGTATATACTTTAATGCAAAAAATGTATTTGCAAAGAATACCATATCCAATACAAACTGTGTATTTTACGACAATATGCAGCACAGTATGAAGCAGAACGACTAATTGCTTTTACATAACAACAACAGGCAACTGCACGCAATATGATAAAAGACTAAAATTCGATTAATAATTAAATGTGTTACTAAAAATAATCCAAACAAACAGCTCTTCAGTCAAGTAATATAATGTGTTAGTCTAACTGTAGACTGTTTATGGTTAGCAACTGTAATTGATTTCCATCCATCACTGAATCAGCTGACTCCATGACTCCTGTGTTCATGGATGTAAACTCACATGTTTTTCTGCGTGTAAATGCTGCTGTTGGCTGCCAGTTTGTTGGCCTCGGACAGCTCAGTGATCCTCTGCTCCAGATTGCTCATCTTTGACTCCATGGCATTGATCGTCTACATGAAGCAGAGTCACTGATGAGTAAATTAGACATTATAATTCAAAGCAGAACCTTAGTTCAATAATGAACAGAACAGCTTGAATTTCTTTACGAGGCCAGCTGGTTAGTGCTGGTCATGCTGGTGAATCAGTATAATCAACCAAGTACAGTATAGTCTTGTCAAAAGCACTGGTGCTTTAGTACTACATTTTACAAAAGTATCAATACTATCCTTCCTACAGTACCAGTAGGGTTATTATAGTTAACTAAAACGTAACAAAAAATCTTACTTAAAATAAAAGTAAATAATACAATTATTAATATACACACACACATATATATACACTCTAAAAATTGCTGGGTTGTTTCAACCCAACTTCGGGTCAAATATGGACTAACCCAGCCATTGGGTTAAATTTTTACATTAAATTTTTAACCCAAAAGTTGGGTTAGTCCATATTGTATTATTTGCTTATAATTATTAGTAGAATTAATTAACTCATTTAACTTAATCTTTTTTTTTTAATACTAAACAAAATATTTAAATAGGTCCAACAGTTTTTGATATGGTAGTGAAATTGGTACAGAGGAAAATGAAATTTTAGTTGGTATTGTCAAAGCACGTTTTTTGTAATTATCTTTGATTATTCTTAATACTGTCAATACAGTATTTTCATTGCACTACAGTAAAACAATTATTGCCATAGAATTTTTTATTTAAATCAACATATTCACAGCAGATTTTTTTACAGTAATGAGAAATTTAAAAACATGCCATGATGCAAAAAAAATAAATAAATTGAATTTATTGTCTTGCACAACAGCACAAAGATCAGTGTTAATTAATAGGGTCACACTATGTAATTTTTCCCAATGAAAAATTATAGTCTCTCTCTCAGAAAAAGCAAAATAACATGTTACCGCTGTCTGGTCGCTGATCATTTTTCCCCGCTCGCGAGATTCCTCCTCATACGTGTTCTGCTTGGACTCCAGCAGTTCCTTTTCAGCCAAATCAGCCTTCATTTGAGTCTCTAAAACCTACAAAACACAAGCACTGGGTTATTACACCAGACAAACGAACAGAAAGTACCTTCAAAATGAGGCCTTTAAAGGTTTCATCTAAATCCAAAGATAAACACAAAGTCAGGATCTTTTATTCAGTAGCTATAAAATTAATAACGAGCACTAAAGTGTATCGGTCCTGTCACTGTGTGAACCAAACGATAACCGCTCTGTTGAACATCACTGACATTTGTCACAAGCAGAAGTGTGTGTGTGTGTGTGTGTGTGTGTGTGTGGCCTGACCTTGATCTTGTCTTCATAAAGCTTTTTCTTCTGTTCCAGGTGTGTTTCCATACGCTGTGCTGTTGCCTGTGTTTCACGCAAGTTCTCTTCGAGTTCCTGCATACAGACAAGAGAGGAAGAACTGCTAGGTTATTTTTCCCAGAAGAAAAATTTTAAAAGTGTGGGACTGTATAAGTCTCTATTCAATCTCATTTATTTGAGGAAAAACAGTAGGAACGTTTTTTAATTGATAACATATTTCCCGAACAGGTCTCCAGTAGTTATATTTTTGTAAAGTATTTATTAATATTTTGAACTAGCTTTTGTTTTTATATCTTCAATTTTCATTAAAATTTTTGTTCAAGTTTAAATGATTTTGTGCCTTTGTCATTCATATTAAATATATTTTAAATATTTGTATTTTGCTTTCATTTATTTTTATTTCAATTTTAGCAATTTAGTACTTCAACTTTTTAATTTTTTTCATATAATATTTATATTTTATTTAAGCTTTAAATGAATTAATGAAAACTGTTTTTTAACAGTTTTAATTAACCTGTTAGTTAGTTAATTGCAAATTACCCCACCATATATATTTTACAAAAAATGTAAATGGTTTACTATTGCATTATATGTAATTATACAGTCAAATACAGTCAAATGTATCATTTTTGGAAGTACAAACCATAACTTTTACTGTGAAAAAAAGTTTTTAGTTATTTGTTTTATATACAGCATATAGTGTATTTAAATAGTTTTGCTTTTCCTCATTTTTGTTATCAGTAATGTATTTTTTCTTTCAGTTTTTCTTTTAATTTTTGTTTTAGTAATTTGTTATGTGCTTTTGTAATTTTTATTGTATTTCTAAATATTTCAATAATTTACTTTTATTTCAGTTTTAGTCATTTTTGTACTTCAACTCTTAAAGTTTAAGTTCACACAATATTTATATTTTATTTCATTTCAGCCTTATTTTAATTAATTAAAACTATTTTTAATAGGCAAGGAAAGTTTATTTATATAGCACATTTCATACACAATGGTAATTCAAAGTGCTTTACATAAAAAGGAATTAAAATCACAAATTAAAAAATTTAAATTATTTAAAGAAATTATTATTTAAAATGCATTAAAACAGTTAAGAATAAAAAACGAGGATACATAAAATACAGTGCAATCATTCAGACTTAGCACAGTGCTCATTTAGTAAATGCACAACTAAACAGTTGTTTTGAGTCTAGATTTAAATGTAGTTCAATCTAATGTATTAACAGTTTTAATAGTTTTATTTTTAATTACCGATAACAACTCTGGTCTCCAGAAGAACTCAAAATGTGCCATTTCATTTTTAAGCACCTGTTAATAAAACAGTAATTCATAAAAATCAATAATGTTTGTTTTCCAATATAAATGTCTAAACATTATTTAATCAAAATAATTTTACTTCAGAGGCATTTTTTTTAAAGAAATTAAGACTTGTTTCCTGAAACATATCAAAATGAAGTGAGTTTATGCTTAAAACAATAAAAAATATCTACCAATGGGGTAAGAAAAATTAACTTAATTCAAAGGAAAAACAAGAATATCATTATTACCCATTGGCATATGTTCTTTCTGCTTTTAAGCAATTTCTTATCCAGTTTTTTAAATCCAATATCTTTAGTATTTGTGTCTTGTTTCCCAGTAGAAATATCTAATCATTCTTTAATCAAGATTCATTTACTTGAGATGCTAAATTAAAGCCTGATGTCATTGTTTTTCTTAAGTAAATATATCTTGATTTAGGAATATTTAGATATTTGTACTTGAAAACAAGACAACAATACGACGAAAGAAAATAATTTTCTGCAATTGTTGAAATGGAAAATCACATCAGAATAGTCATCGACAATGAACCAATCAGTTGTGAGCTTGAGGCTAAATGTCAGCAAAAGTGGATTACAATTGGTTAATTAATTATGATGTTTAGATTTGCAGTTACACTCATGCTTTTATCCCAAGCAAGTAACACTGCATTCAATGTCTATATAGTATTTAATCCCTTCAGGATCTACTGTTTGAACTACAGAAATTGTTTCCAGCTTATTCTTTGTGTAATGACAATAAAGTTGAATCTGATCTAATCATAATCATTATATTTGTAAATCAAGTCATTTTGAATTAATTCAGACATTCAGTGAGAAGTGTCTGGAGAAGCTGCGCAGTGCATCACCTCAGTGTCTCGCAGGCGTCTGCGCAGGCTGTCGGTGGAGTCCTCTTTGGTCTGCAGACGCTCCAGATCTCGCTCCAGACGTTCTTTAGCCTGCCGGACGTTCTGCAGGAGTTCAGTGGCTTCTGTACTCGCCTTCACGGCCTGCGAGAAAAGGAAACAGCACTGTAAAAAAAGTACATAAAAAGACTAAAACTGCTACAGTAAAAACCTGTTAATTGGTTTGTAAATGACCTTACCATAGACTGTAAATAAACCTGTAAATGTTTCAACAAGGCATTGTATGTAATTATAAAGTAAAATACAGTCAAATGTATAGTTTTTGAAAGTACAAACTATTAATTAACATAATTTACAGTGCAAGCAGTAAAAGGACTGTTGATTTTATGAATTAAACAAGACATATGAAGTAGAAAACCTAAAACAGTATTTTCTTGTAAAACAATCTAAATATCTTTGTTTTGTGTACTTTGTTTTATTTACTTTATTTAACTTAAAAAAAAAAACGTACTAAAATTTTTGTAAAATTTTACAGTGTTTTGTATTATTAAATTTTAAGGTAATAAGCAGATTTTGTTTATTACAATTAGCTTTATATATTATAACATTACATACTGAAATATATGGTTATAAGCTATAAAACATATATATATATAGGCATCAGTATTTCATTTTGTAATATCGGAAACACTGTTTTTATTTGTATTTTACTTTGAATTTCTGGCAACTAAAGCTACCAGTTTTATACCGTAAATTTAACAAGATATTTTTTTTATTTTTGCGGGTCACAGATTAGCTATCATCTAACTACTGCTGTGTGATTCACGATAAATCAAATCACAGTTATTTATGTAGTGCTTTACACAATACAGATTGTTTCAAAGCAGCTTTACTCAAATAAACAGAAAAATAAAAGTGTTAATGTTGTAAAATTCATCAATTATAAAACAAATTTATATTTCAGCCATAAAGCAGCTCTACAAAAGACAATAGTGTTGTTATTCAGTTCAAGTCAGTTCAATGTTGATTCAATTCAATTCAAAAACAGTGTTGATGACGCAAAGTTATTATCATTATCAGTTCAGTTCAGTTCAATGACAGCATCGATGCAGTTAAAGGGATAGTTCACCCAAAAATTAAAATTAGCCCATTATTTACTCACCCTCAAGCCATCCTAGGCATATATGACTTCCTTCTTTCAGATGAATCCAGTCGGAGTTATATTAAAAATTGACTTTGATCTTTCAAGCTGTTTAATGGCAGTCAGCAGGTGTTGCAGTGCATCTATCCAAAAGAAGTGAAATAAAGTGCATCCATCCATAATAAAAAGTGTCTCACACGGCTCCGGGGGGTGAACAAAGGCCTCCTGTAATGAATCGATGCATTTTTGTAAAAAAAAAAAAAACATATTTAAAACATAATAATCACTTTAATCTAGCTTGCGCTCACTGTTGTACACAGAAGCAGCTCCGGGCGGATGACGTAAGATGTCAACGTTGCGCATGCGCCGGTGAGTCTCGTGAAAACAAACGTTTGTTAACAGGAGCAAAGGAAGCAAAGTTTCCTTACTTTAGCAAAGGAAAACCAGTCTCCTCTTGGCATATATCGAAATCCTCTGACATGCTTCTTTACAAATCCTCATTTTGTACTTCTAATTAGTGACCATTGTTTTGTTTTGATCTCTCCGCTGCGCTTCCGCATTTGTCACTTCTGAGCGACGCATGTGCAACGCCGACGTCTTCATCCGCCCAGAGCCGCTTCCGTGTACAACAGTGAGCACAAGCTAGATTAAAGTGATTATTACGTTTTAAATATGGTTATTTTTCTATAACCAAAAACGCATCAATTCGCTACAGGAGGCCTTTGTTCACCCCCCGGAGCCATGTGAGGCACTTTTTATTATGGATGGATGCGCTTTATTTCACTTCTTTTGGACTGATGAACCGCAACACCCACTGACTGCCATTAAACAGCTTGGAAGATCAAAGTCCATTTTTAATATAACTCCGACTGGATTTGTCTGAAAGAAGAAAGTCATATACACCTAGGATGCCTTGAGGGTGAGTAATTCATGGGCTAATTTTTCATTTTTGGGTGAACTAACCCTTTAAATCAATAATATTAACAATAATAATTTTTCAGTTCTTTGAGAAGGGCTGATTTTTAAATAAATGTGCACATACCTTGGCAAGCTTCTCCTGGAGTTCTTCAACCTTCACTTGTTGCTCTGCATTGGTCTGAGACATTTACAAATAAAAGAAGCTTAAATACAAAAACAGCTGCATTAGCAATTGCACTAGACACTTGCTCCAGACTGGTTAGTGCTGGTCAATCAGCATGGCATTTTTGCTCATTTACCATGGAGGTATTTTTGGTTATGCAAGTTAGGAAGTCTAGCAACAAAATATGTTGGTCTTCTTAACAGCAAATGGAAACGGTGTAAGTAAATAGTGATTTAATTACCTTCTGCAATTTGGTCAGAAGTTCTTCCATCTCAGTTTTGCCTTGTTCTTTGGCCTGCAGAATCAAAACATAGACTGATCGCATCTCATCTAGAGTGCATCAGCAGGACGGTTCTCGCTTTGAACGTGAACAAACCTTCTGAATCTTCTGCTGGTATTCCACAGCCTTCCTCTTGAGGTCCTCGCTGGTCTGGCGAGACTCTTTCAGCTCGGATTCGTACAGGTCGCTGCGGCGGCGAGCGGCGGACAGGTTCTCCTCCAGCTGACGAATAGAAACGCGCATTTCCTCCAGCTGAGCGTGGTACTCCTGCAGGGTCATAAATGGTTAAAATGGCACTTTAGTTACTGTCCTCTGTGTCCATGTCTATAAAGAACAGAAACATGGTCAAAATGTTTTATTATGATTAAAAGATGAATATGAGACAAAACTACAGAATGTCTCATTTTATTATTGGGTGTTTCAACACATACATGTTTTACCAACTAAGAAGATCAGCACTTTTAGAGTTTCATCCCCCTATCTGATATAAGCATAAGTATTGGAACAGTTGCCTTTGCCATTGAATCAGCTGTGTCCTGTTGCATTAGTTCTTCAGATATTAAAAGTAGGGAATGTGTCATATCAGTTATATGCACTGCTTCTGCATTCTGAGTATATATATATATATATATATATACACACAGTATATATATACAGTATATATATATATTTTTTAATGGAACAGTTTATTGAGATACAATTTGTTAAATATATCAAATAAAAATGTGTTTGTTGTTGAGCATCATATTTGATACATGAGGCTTTTACGGCTCGTATAGTGTCATATGATAAACATGTCAGTTTTATTCAGAGGCCCAATCTGAGCAAAAACATGATTTTTCTAAAAACTAAATAAATAAAAAAACATCTATTAATAATCAAGTAAACCTACTTCAGTCCAGTAAGGGTTCATCTTGAAATATTACTAACTATATAAAAGTTATTACGTTTACTTCAAAAAATCAGCAAAGATTTTACAGCAAAAAGACATGTGAAGCATGAGCTGAAAGTGGACATTTTTTGCAATTATACTAAAAGGCCTTATTAAAAAAAAATCTAAACTATCAATCAGATGACAGAAAGCATGTAGTAGATTATGTGCAACAGGTTTTTCATCAAAGATTTGACAACCTTGATCATTTAAAGGCATTTATAAGGTTATATTATTTTAATATTCCTGTGTTCGACACAGCAAACCATTCATATGGGTAAGAAGCATTTCAAAAAGAATAAAGGAATCAGATTGAGCTCATGCAACCCATTTTGAATGCAGCACTAAGCAAACTGCTATGTGCAAAATGGCAGAATCAAATAAAATAGGAGAATCAGAAGACCTTTGTGAGAGAACATGAGGCAGAGGAGATGAAATCAGTCTGAGTAACCAACCGCGGGATATAGAGAGAGACCAGTACATGAAAAGCAGAGCGGAGAAGTGGATACATAAGTGTGCTGAGTGGGTGAAAGGTCAGCGAGTGGGAGGACAGTGTGAGTGTGCCAGTCCGAGTCCGAATCGCCTCTCGTCGTTTCATCAGCCATTAGCTACAGGTCACAAAACGCATCCACGCCACAATCGCCTAACGAGACGTCTTACGGCGTTTAGCGATAAAACATTAGCCTGGGCTATGTTAAAGGGGAAAAGGAAATCCAGCATGACAGGCATAGAAGATAGAATCAGTAACTGTCTGTGTTTATTACATGTTGTTGTAAAGCATGTTGGACATGCTCCTGTGGAATTTGGGTAATCTGCACCCATAGAGACCAAGCATTAAAGTAACATTCACCTGAAAATGTTCTGAAAATGTCCTCACCCTTAGATCATCAAAGATGTAGATGAGTTTGTTTCTTCATCAGATTTGGAGAAATGCAGCATTACATCACTTGCTCACCAATGCATCCTCTGTAGTGAATGGGTGCCGTCAGAATGAGAGTCCAAACAGCTGATAAAAACGTCACAATAACCCACAAGTAATCCAGACCACTCCAGTCCATCAGTTAATGCCTTGTGAAGTGAACAATTGCTTCCAGAAAATCTGAATTTCGTCTGAATCAGGAGAGAAATATGCACAGATCGTATTTTAGCTGGAAGCAACGGTTTGAAGTTGAAGAGATCATAAAGAATTTGTTTCTTAGAAAAATTTAGCTTTTCACTTCACGAGATGTTAACTGATGGACTGGAGTGGTGTGGATTATTGTGATGTTTTTAACAGCTGTTTGGACTCTCATTCTGACGGCACCCATTCACTGCAGAGGATGCATTGGTGAGCAAGTGATGGAATGCTTAACTTCTCCAAATCTATTCAGATAAAGAAACAAATTCATCTTGGATGTCCTGAAAGGAAGCACATTTTCAGCAAATTTTAATTTCTGGGTGAACTACTTTAGTATTATTGTTGTCCTATTTATTATGCAGTTGCCTTTAAAAAAAAAAAAGCATATGACACTTGAGACCATGCTATATTGTGAAAATGCGGAGGAAAAACAGTGAAGTTCAGGTATGGAAAAGCATGTTTGTGCTTTTTGCTTTACAGCACCATAATGAGATTTATAATTATGCAACAGAAATGACAGAAAAGAGGTGCTTGACATTTTGTAAAATTGCCTCCCAAATGAAAGTCATAATATAAAAAAAGAAAAATCAGCTCAAAGTGAGTCAACACAATCTTCATCTGTCAGTCCTCTATGCTATGTGATTGCTTGATTATCAATAGTGAGCTAATTGCTCTCCTACACAAATAACGTCAATTGTGACAATGACATTTTGCCAGAAAGTGCCTGGAATTACAGCATCTGCAATAGTTGCAAGCACTAAAAAGATCCCAAATGCAATATTCATTCATCAGAAAGAAAACCACAAATGAGACCTATTAAATACATCAATTGTTTCTCCTAAATGCCAATCAGATTAAATGAAAAGCCAACTGATGCTTTTGCTTAAATCTCACGTTTTCAAATTTTTGTCATTTCAGCAATTCAGAAATACAGCACTTTATATATCAATATCAGGCATTGAAAACCCCATATAGATCAAACACTACAATCTAAAATTCATCTCCTCTAGACTTTAACAATAGATCTTAACAATGTCTTAAAATCTGATATTAATGTCCATTTATATTTAAGAGAAACAGAGACAAAGTTTATATTTAAAAGAAAATTACAATTTTGTAAATTTAAAGTAAAATTAAAGTAATAAATAAAATTAGGCCTGGGCGATAAAACGGTATCGATATTTATCGACGGTACACCTTCTTCGATAACGATATAAAAAATGTTCGATATAGCACACGGTATAGGCATGTGCTATGAGTGACGCAGACAGCACACACGAACACGAACACATGCTGAAATGAGTGCTGTGCCTGCCTGTGATGAGGAGATGGTGAATAAAGAATGAATATTAGTCGAATTTAAAATAAACCTTTGCAATGTTAGGTGTGCGTCAGGGAGCGTCATCAGTGGAGCACGAGATGCGGTGATGATGATGTAAGTGACATTATTGCATTTGAATGTTTTGTTAGTCTAGCCCACGAGACGCGCCACTGCTGCGTTATTCATTCAAAATATTAAAGAAATATATAAGCTCAATGCGGAGATGATCTTGATTAGGTTAAAACCTGTTTTTATACAGTCTATGGTTACAACCGAAACCAAGCCATTCACACAGAACACATATTCAGCGCATTTTTAGACGGACAAATATGACTGCTGCACTCGCGTCTCACACAAGAGATGTAGCCATGCAAAGTTAAAACAGTTTAAACTTTTAGAAAACACGTCACGAATTTGTGGAAGTTTATCCCTTTTCACTGCGTCTCATATGTTTTTAAAGGCAATCTGTGTGATGGGTGCTTCGGCTCTTTGGATTAAGCAATGCATAAATACAAGATGCTGTTTTGTTCATAACTGTTTATGCAATTTACAAAATTATATTTGATTTTTATGAGTTAATTTAGACGTAATGCAAGTTTTTTTTATAGAGTTACTTCCTTGCATTGACAATTTAAATGCGCTGCATTATTTTGTTCATTGCGCCCTCCTGTGGCCTCGGGAGACAAGACAAAAGTTTCCTTAAAACTTATTTAATCTGCATATAAAACATTAGAAATTAGATATGTTTAATTTTTATTTTGTGTTTGATTGTTAAAACAAAAAATGTGTTGTTTGTCTCAATAAATTGGGTTAATTTAAAAATACAGTGGTTAAATTAAAAAAACATTTCTATTGCTCTTTGTTTTAAAAAAGGTTATAAAAAATTTCAATAATTATCGATACCGAACGATATGAAACATTATATCGTTGATACATTTTTTAGCTATATCGCCCAGCCCTAGTTCAAATGAACACATAATTCATGACTACAAACTTAACAAAAATTTTAGTCTTTTAAGACAGCATTCACATTATCCAAAGCAACTTTCAAATGAGCGAGTCCACTGAAAGCCCAAACGCTAAAAGGCAAAGCAAAAACCAAATCTGTCAGCCGCTAAAACTTCCATTTGAACTGGAAATCACCCTTTAAAAGCAGCTCTGTTCTGAACTGACAGCTTAATGGACCAATTCCCCCCTGAGCTTAACAAACTTCATATATTCATGAAACTGAACAAAGCCTTTCTGTGCCACTTTTTTTAAGCATAAGAGAGCCCAACAACTACAGTCATTTTCCCATAGGGATTTAAAAACAAGACCTTTAGTAAAGACTTCCAAGTCATTAACCAAAACCTGCTCCAAGATGAAACACAACATTATAAACTTTAAATTTAAAAAAGGCTTTAAAAACTCAGCAGTGATGAGGAAATTACCTGCTACTATCCCACATAAAGCACTGTGAATAATGTAATCAAATTAGGCACAACAACAAAATGTAAAACTGCTGATTACAAGTCACTTATATGAGAATAAAAGCTCTATTAACTTTTTTTTTTTTGCTTGTTTGTGTTTGCAAATACCAATCATTACAAATATGTTGTTTCTGCAAGTTACTTTTAAACAGTAAGTGGCGACAAATTACCATCTTTAAAGGAGACATATTATGCCCCTTTTTACAAAATGTAATATAAGTCTCTGGTGTCCCCAGAATGTGTCTGTTAAGTTTCAGCTCAAAATACTCAACAGATCATTTATTATATCATTTTGAAAATGTCTATTTTGAGTGGAAGTAGAAACACGCTGTTTTTCAGGCCTGTGTCTTTAAATTCAAATAAGCTGCTGCTCCCCTTCATATATTCATGAAACTGAACAAAGCCTTTCTGTGCCACTTTTTTTAAGCA